GCATTTTCCAATTTTCTGAGGGGTGGAATAAAGCTCATCTTGTATCTGATATATAGCAATGATTACCTTGAGTGCTCATATGAGGCAGATCTAGATACCTCTTAATCACGTATAGGGAGACCTTGATGTGAGTTATGCTTGAAGTTTCCCACAGTAAAGTCTGAGAAAGGATTATAACCCTAAAAATTTCTCATTTCTTTGTATGGTCCCCCAAATCAAAACTGAAAGCCTAGAACCTATGATCTACTTACAATAATAGAATCTTAGATATCCATCTAGTCCAATCATTTTATATTACAGATGAGATTAAGTGATTTGTCCAAGGTCATGTAGCTACTTAAAGGCTGTAGAAAAAACATTAAGGGGCAGCTAGGTGGCATAGTGGATAGAGCACTGGCCCTGAATTCAGGAGGACCTGAGTTCAAATCTGGCCTCAGACACATGACACTTAACTAGCTGTGTGACCTGGGCAAGTCACTTAACCCCATTTCCTAGCCAAAAAAAAAAAAAACCAAAACCCATTGAATTCTAACCCAGATGACGAGGCTTCAGATCATAGGATTATACATTTTAGAGCTGGAAGAGACCTTAGAGATCATCTCAGCTCTTCTTTTAACTCAGTTGCATTGTCTGTAAAATGGGGGTTTATATTTAGCCAGCGTTTAAGTCCTATTCCAGCTTTAGATACAGGAAATTTCTATGACTAGAGCTTTCCTTGCTGTCCGCAGCTTAGTCTGTTACTTGATGCTACGATTTACAGTATTTCAACTGTGTCCCAAATACCTGAGTTTGTTAGATAAGTAAGGTTACTGTATAGTGTTAATAGCATCACTTTTTTGTCTGGCTATGGGTTATATCCTAAGGGCCAAAGCACCTGAGCACAGTATTCTGTGCAGCAGAAACAGGTAATATACGGAGATGTTTGGAAGTAGCTTTCCTTGCTCTAAATCACCAATAATTAGAGAAATGCAGATTAAAACAACTCTGAGGTACCACCTCACAACCATCAGAATGGCTAAGATGACAAAAAAAGAAAAATGACAAATGCTGGAAGGACTATGAGATAAGATTCATATAAATGCACAGTTGGCAGAGCTGTGAACTAGTCTTAACCATCCTAGAAATCAATTTGGAAAGAACTATGGCCCAAAAGCCATTAAACTCTGTGTACCCTTTGACTCCAGGAATACCATGCTAGGTCTGTACCTGGAAGAAATCAAAGAAAGAAGAAAAGGATGTATATGTACAAAAATACTTGTAGCAACTCTTTTTGTGGTGGCAAAGAATTGGAAACTGAGGAAATTACCATTATGGTATTTTTTGGTATAAATTACCAATAGTAATTTATTTGGGGAATGGCTGAACAAGTTATAGTAATATGAATGTGAAGAAATAATATTATGCTGTAAGAAATGAAGGGGATGGTTTCAAAAAACCTGGGAAGACTTGTATGAACCGACAGAGTGAAGTGAGCCGAATCAGGAGAACAATGTATACAGTAACAGAAATAGTATAAAGATAATTAACCGTGAAAGACTTAGTAACTCTGATCAACACAATGACCAGCCACAATTCTGAAGGACTCGTGATGAAGCATGCTGTCCGCCTCCAGACAGAGAGCTGATGGACTCAGAGTACAGATTGAAGCAGCCTGTTTTTTTCTGTTTCTTGCTTTTTCTTGCTTTTTTTTCTGAACATGGCTAATGCAGAAACTTGTTTTGCATAACTATAAAAATCAAATCAAATCTAAGTTAGTTTATAGGTTAAAAAAAAATATGAAGTAGCATTCTTACCTGGGGTAAAACTGGCAAGTTTATGGAAAAGGTTTCTCTGATTCTCTAGAGTTTGTGTTTTCTTTAAGTGATATGCTGACAATACCAAGTGCTAAAATAATATTATCTAGGGGATAGGGACTAGGCCTGTGATTTCAAAGGCATAGGAAACTCCCAAAGAGACAAACTCCCTACCTTATCTGCAATTTATAATCTTAGAGGGTTGCCTAGGGGTTAAATTATTTGCCTAGGGATCGTACAACCAATATGTGTCAGAAATGAAATGCGATTTGAACCCGAGTCTTCCTGGCTCCAAGATGGGCTCTCTACCTACTACTCTACTTTGCCTCTCCATGTGCTCTTACTTGAAAATAAGATAGATTATTAGTGCTGGCAAATGTATCTTTCTACAGACAAACACACAGCATTGGCATTATTTGGTAGTTAGGCATGGTAGTACATGCCTGTAATCCCAGCTATCTATAGGGAAAACTGAGGCTGTTGGATTTTGAACTATGGAGTTCTGTGCTGCGGTGGTCTATGCTGATCACATGTCTGCACTAAGTTCAGAATTAATACGGTGAACTGCTGGGAGGCGGTGGAAATCACAAGATTGCCTAAAGAGGAGCTACAGACCCAGGTCAGAAACAGAGCAAGTCAAAGCTCCCATGCTGATCAGTAATGACATCAGACTATAGCACCTAATACATCTTGCCTGGGTAAGATGAGAAGACTTTAACTTTTTTTATAAGCAGCATTATTTGGTAATTGGGGAAATACTTCCAAGGTGATAATTAAATGTGAATATTCAATTTTTAAAATTAGGATGGCAAAGATAAGAAGCTTGTACCAAAAGAGTACAATCTCTGCCCTTGAAACACTCAAGAAAATCCATTGTCATACTTGATGGTGTTTTGTCTTGCCATGTAATAGAAAGGGAAAAGAAAGAAAATGAAAACTGGGATTTTGGCAGGGCTCAGCCTCCCCAGACATGAGTGTTTGAGCACAAGGGTAGAGTTAGCAAATATCCTGGCAGCTCTCATGTTCCATTGGAACACCTGCTATGCTAAGCAGCTGGGGACAGAAGCCCCAAAATAGCCCAGGCTCACCCACTCGCTCACAACAACACAGGAACTCCCCTGCACTGCAGGCAAGGAAAAAAAAAAAACCTTAAGACTGAGGCCTAGCAAGGCTGCTTTGGGAAAATTACTCAACACTGTAAAGCTTCTCTTCATTTTCCTCAGAAGAGTGTCTTCTTTGGGCAGAGAATGGAATCCAACTGCCCGTGTGGTGTTTAGGCCACTGAGCCTATTAGGGGTTTAAGCCATTGGCCCCCAGGGTCAGCAAAGGAATCCTAAGAGATATATAAAAGTCATGTGGGTGAGCCAGCTGCACCCACTACACAGTCCTCAAGGATTCCTGAAGCACCGTCATGAATGTCTCGGGGTGGGGCAGGGAGGGTAGAATACTTTATCCTCTCTTATTGGTGTTAGCCATGAACTAGCACAACGCTTTGACTCTGACCTGGAAGCATTAGCAACAGGGTTTATAGAAACCAGAAATCTTAATGGGTTTGCTGTCCAAATTAAAGTGTAGTTTGGAGCCAAGGAATTTGGAGGCAGCAAAGACACCCTGAAAGGTCAAATGATAGTGCAATTTTAAAAACCTAGGGAGTAGAAGCAAAAAAGTGGGAGAGAGAGGAATCAATGTATTGATCGATGTGAGTGGCTTATAGTTGATCTTCTAGATTTTGGACTGAGGTCTTTATACTAGTCCATTTTGCCTTTAAGTACAAATGGACTTTCTCAGTATGAAGATCCTCACTTGTACTTTATATGGTAGATAGTCTAACTGTACATAACTCAAATTTCCAGCCAAGCCTGGAGCATTTTGAATAAGAATTTCCAAATTCCAGAACCCGATTTGTGGCATGCCTGCAGGACAGGAAGAATTGGTGTGAGAGCTTTGAAAAGGAGAAAGCTTTTTTGTTCCTCCTTGAGAGACACATGCGGTTCCAGATTCTCTTGGGACAGACTCGAGGGAGAAGAAAGAAAAAAAAAACTTTGGAAGCAGCAAACACATAGGCAAAACCAGTGCTGCAACACCTCCCTGACTTCAGCTTGCCTCCCTGGAGACTTTGGGGCATTTCCTCTTGGGTGAAATGGGATCTTTCTCTTAGTAGAGTGAGATTTCAGCTCACTGTCCTCACACTTGTTTGTGTTCTCTTCTCTTCTAATCTGTATAACTTCTCCAATTTTGGTTTGCTATTTATCTGAACAAATGGGCTTGCTTATTATTTACTATTTGTGATGGTATTTTGTGAAGTATTTGGTGGGAAGGAATAAAGCCTGTTAGTATAAAGTTGAGGTACCCTCTCCTATTATTAGATAGCTGCCAAGAAAGTAGTTCGAACTAGTGCCCCTAGACCAACAATATTTAGGGGCACAAATGAACATGGTTCTAGTCTAGGACTCCTTTCTTTCAGAGAAGAATAGGGTGACCAGCTTTATGACCCCTGCTCCCCAAATAACAAGGATTTCAGTGTCCCTAGAGGAGTGGGCAAGATTCCAGAGATATTTTTCTATCCATACCTCCCCTCATGCTTCATTTAGATAACCCACACGGACAAACATAATTTATGTGGGCAGCACAAACTCTACATGTAAATTCTGTACTTACTTTTTTATTATTTCTTAAAAAACAGTGATAGAAGAAAATTTCTTCGGTTTTATATTAGCCTTTATGCTAGATCTTGTGTTATTGCAATGGGAATTAGAAGATATGTTGTATAGCACTTGTGTCCTTTTCTTGACCTATCAAGTTAACCTGTCACAACCACCACCGTTGGGATAGAAGGGGGAAAAAAATCTATCCAAAGAATATGCTTATTAGCTTCTTGCTTTTTATACTGTATTTCCATTTGAAAACTATTAGGTTCAAATATGTTTTGAAATATTCAAAAGGAAAAAATGATTTAGCCCCTTTAAGAATTAAAGACAATTTGCAGGAAGAGACCATATTGTAAAATGTGAGGGAACCTTTTACAGGGCTTAATAAAGAAACTCTGCTGTTAGAGAAATCAAACATTCATCAAGAGGGAGGGGATAGTAATAGTTAGATCAAGGTTCAAGCTAATTGTCTGAGAAGTCACTAGTTAGAAAAGGATAGTCACGAGACTGCAGATATGCTTACACAGACTAGTGATACTCCTTTCCCCAAGGAAGCTTTACAGCAGAAGAGCAGATAAAAGCTGGGAGGAGACTCTCTGTGCAAATCTTTGAAAAATTGTGAACAATTGGTTAAAGGCTGGAGGGGAGTAAAGGCTTTTTGTTACAGAGCTGCTGAGAACCCTGAAAGCTAAAGCTGCAGTTCAAAATAAACCAAAGAGAAGGCTTCAGGATGAAGAAGGTTCAGGATGAGTTTTCTGGGCAGGTTTTAAAGAATACCAGAGTTGTGGTAAGCAGTGATTAATACCTGTTGAAGCTCAGGTAATAAAGTACTTAATTTATACCTACCTGTGTCTCTAAAACTTGCTGTCTTTCTAGTTCTAGAAGCATCCTAATTTTTTTTTATATAAATTTATTTGTAGTTTTCAACATTCATTTCCACAAGTTTTTGAGCTCCAAATTTTCACCCCGTCTCACCCTCCCTCCACCCCAAGATGGCATACATTCTGAATATCCCTTCCCCTACTCCGTCCTCTTTTCTTTCTCTCCCCTCTTCTCTTATCCCCTTCCCCTTCTATTTTCCTGTAGGGCAGGATAGACTTCTGTACCCCATTTCCTGTATTTCTTATTTCCCAATAGCATGTGAAAACTTTTTTTTTAAATATGTTTTTAAAACTTTAGGTTTCAAATTTTCTCTCTTCCTCCCTCCCCACCCACCCTCATTGAAAAGGCAAGCAACTCAATATAGGTTGTACATGTGCAGTTATGCAAAACACTTCCATAGTAGACATGTTGTGAAAAACTAACTCTATTTCCCTTAATCCTATTCTGCCCTCCCATTTATTCTATTCTTTCTTTTGACCCTGTTCCTCCTCAGAAGTATTTACTTCTGATTACCCCCTTTCCCAATGTGCCCTCCTCTCTATCATCCCCCTGCTCTCTTGTCCCCTTCTCCCCCTATTTTCTGTAGGGTAAGACAAGATTTCCATACCCAATTGAATGTGTATGTTATTCCCTCCTTAAGCCAAATCCTATGAGAATAAGATTACTCATTCCCTCTCACCTTCCCCTGCTTCCCCTCCACTGTGAGAGACTTTTCTTTTCTGTTTTTTCTTTGTGAGATAATTTACCCCATTCTACCTCTCCCTTTCTTCTTCTCCACGTATAATCCTCTCTCATCCCTTAATTTTATTCTCCAGATATGACCCCTTAATCTTCAACTCACCCTGTACCTTCTATCTATTTATCTATCTATATACATACATATAATTTTTTCCCTCCAACTACCCTAATACTGACAAAGGTCTCATGAGTTATAAATATCATCTTTCCATGCAGGAATGTAAACAGTTCAATCTTAATAAGTCTCTTATGATTTCTCTTTCCTGTTTACCTCTTCATGTTCCACTTGAGTCCTGTATTTGAAAGTCAAATTTTCTATTCAGCTCTGGTCTTTTCATCAGGAATGCTTGAAAGTCCTCTATTTCACTGAATGACCATTTTTTCCCCTGAAGGATTATACTCAGTTTTGCTGGGTAGGTGATTCTTGGTTGTAATCCTATCTCCTTTGCCCTCTGGAATATTATATTCCATGCCCTGTGGTCCTTTAATGTAGAAGCTGCTAAATCTTTGTTATCCTGATTGTGTTTCCACAGTACTTGAATTGTTTCCTTCTGGCAACTTGTAATATTTTCTCCTTGACCTGGGAACTCTGGAATTTGGCTATTATATTCCTAGGAGTTTTCCTTTGGGGATCTCTTTCAGGAGGAGATCTGTGGATTCTTTCAATTTCTATTTTGCCCTCTGGTTCTACTATATCAGGGCAGTTTTCCTTGATAATTTCTTGAAAGATGATGTCTAGGCAAAGCATCCTAATTTTGAAAGAAAGCTTAAAGGTAATTTAGCCCAACTTCCTACCCAATTCAACTCTATAATTTCCACTCATTAAATATCTATTGAGGGACCACTGTGCTTAAGATACAGAATAATATTACTGACATTTGATCATTTAGCTTCAATTTTGGATGTTTCCAGTCTTAAGGAACTAACAAAGCAATTCATTCCTTTTTGAGGAAATTTTACACCCCCCCTTTCCTTTTCCCCTTTCCCTCCTCACCACTGTTTTGCTTCTGACCATTGCCTCCCTCAATCTGCCTTCCAGTCTCCCCTTTTCTTGTCCCCCTCCCCTCCTACTTCCATATACAGTAAGATAGATTTCTATACCCAAATGAGTGTGTATGTTATTCCCTCTTTGAGGGAAAGCTGTTGAGAGGTAAGATTCAAGCCATGCTTACCCTGCCTTCCTTCTTTCCCTCCACTTTAATAGAGGAAAGGGTAGAAAGACCTGTAATAGGTCTTCTGTGCCTCTTCATGTGATATAATTTACCGCATTCTACCTCTGCTTTCTTTTTTCTCCCAGTGCAATCCTCTTTCTCACTCCTTAATTTTTTTATATCATCCCATCAAAGTCAACTTAAACCTGCACCCTCTGTCCATGTATACTTCTTCTAAGTGCCCTAACAGAGATACTCTTCTTAGGGAAATTCTAATTGATACAGTGTTCTCTTCTTTCAAAACACAACTTCACAGGAAAAGACAATCATAGCTACTGGACTATAATGATACTGTTGTTGTTGGGTCATTTTTCAGTCGTGTTTGACTCTTTATAACCCTATTTGGAGTTTTCTTGGCAGAGATACTGGAGTGGTTTGCCATTTCCTTCTCCAGCTCATTTTACAGTTGAGGAACTGAAACAAACACAGTTATGTGACTTGCCCACAGTCATATAGCTAAGTGACTCAGGCCAGATTTGGTTTTTTGTTTGTTTGTTTTTAGGCAGTTGGGGTTAAGTGACTTGCACAGGGTCACACAGCTAGTAAGTGTCAAGTGTTTGGTCGGAGGCCAGATTTGAACTCAGGTCTTCCTGACTTCAGGGCTGGTGCTCTATCCACTGTGCCACCTAGCTGCCCCTCAGACCAGATTTGAACTCACAAAGATGAGTCTTCCTGACTCCAGGCCTGTTATTCTATGCACTGCACCACCTAACTGCCCTATAATGATAATGATAGCTAGCTTTTTTATAGCATTTTAAGGTTTGCAAAGTATTTAATAAATATTATCTCATTTTATCCTCACACCAACCCTGTGAGGTAGGTGTTATTATTATCCTCATTTTATTAATGAATAAATTGAGTCTGGGAGAGGATAAATACCCAGGAATACACAGCTAGTAGATCTCTGAATCAGGATTCACACTCAGGTCTTCCTGATTCTAAATCCAGTGGATTTTCAACAGTAAACAACTTTTTAAAACCCTATTCTAGGGCTAGGTACCTGATTCTGAAGTGTTGACCAGACTTAAGACTTGTGCTTTACCACAAAAAGAGGTTAAGGTATATGAAAAGACACACAAAATTAAAAAAGCAAAGGCAATTAGTCACTAAAGAAATTCATTGGGGGCAGCTAGATGGTACAGTGAATACAGATCTAGCCTTGGAGTCAGGAGGACTTGAGTTCAAATACGGCCTCAGACACATAACACTCACTAGTTGTGTGACTCTAGACAAGTCACTTAACCCCAATTGCCTCTCCAAAAAAAAAAAAGAAAAAAAAGAAATTCACTGAAACTGGTACCAGTGGGGACATCTTTCCCACCTCAGACCCTAAGTGATATAAATAGAATAACCAAGACCTTCCTTGATGTTGCTTTTTCCCAAAGATGACTTCACTTTCCTTCCTTCTTTCTACAACAATCTGTAGCTGAGTGAGGATATATACTTGGGACGTTTACAAGCTAGGAACAAGAAAAAAGAGAAGAGACCAGAAAGCTGGATAGGAGATAGGGTTACACAGCTCTTTCTCATGGCCTTTTTGTTCCTGTTCTTGGCCTTTCTTTGGCTTTTGATCCTTTTGTGATCTTTTTTTGGACATTTTTTATTGTCCCCCTTTCCTTTTGGTACCATTTTGTTTTCCTTAGTTCCTATAAGCTCTCCCTCATTCCTTCCTTCCTATTCCCTTAATTCCAAGGATCACATTCCATATCCAAACCTTGGAATGGTAAGGTGGAATAAAGGAAAGGTTTAATTCTTTCCATTTCCCTAGTGGACATTTCAAACTGGATGTCCTTGAAATATCTTAAATTCAACATGTTCCAAACTGAACTTTCCCCTAAACCTTCTCTTCCAAGTTTCCCTATTTATATTATATTTATGTTCCCTATTTATATTTGCCACCATCCTTCTAGTCTCCTGGATTTGTAACCATGGAATTATTCTCAACTCTTCACTTTCCCTCATGCCACATGTGTAGTCGCTTGCCAAATTTTGCCTTTTGTACCTTCACAACATCTGTAGCATCTTACCCCTTTTCTCTACTTAGCAATCACCTTAGTTCAGAACCTCTTCACCTCTCACCAAGTTTATTACTAGAGCTTCCTAATTATTCTCCTTGCCTCAGTTGTCTCTCTCCAGCTCAAAATGCAGAACTCTATATCCTATGTCTGAGTCTTTGTACTGACCAAAGTGAATATTGTCTAAAAGTAGGCCTCTCTACCCCAAATTAATTGCAGTTTCAGAAGACCCAGACATCAGACTGGATCAGCCAATCAATCTAAACTAAATGTGAATAAATCCTTAAACCAATTTGGAAGGATCATAGGGCTCTGGGTAATTGGATAAAAACAGGATAACACACAGGAAGATATCTTGTGATTGGCTGAATGAATCAGACATACCTATGGTTCTACATATGTCATAGCAAGCCAGTTCGGAATTTTACATTTTAGCAGCAGGCCATTAGAGTGGTGGTTTGAATTGATTACTAAAATACTTCTGGGAGAGAATTGCTCACTGTTCTGGTGGGAATAGAGTTTCTCTGATCTCCAGGTGACAACCTTGTGAATTTCAAAAGGTCAGGAGATCTGGAATTCACACAGGTGTCAATAGTAGTATCCCCCTAGCAACAGCGGCTGACAGTAGAATCTATGCCAAGAGCTGAGACATACTGAGGAATGGCAGCCTCTGGGCTCTACAAAAGCAAGGAACCCAGTAGTCAGCTAAGCCTAAGGTAACTTCACGATGACTCCATGAAGGAAGAAAAGCACTCTAGTAACCAAGAGCTGTGAGTTTACCTTTTGCTGGCATCATGAGCTCTCTAGGTTTGAGCTAACTCTTCCAGGGGAATTTCTGTGTGCAAGGGGAGAATGTGCCTCCAACTTGGGAGATTTGTTCTTCCTATATCTGTTTCATAAATACCCTTTCTAAAAGTTAATTGAGCCTACAGGATGATAATCTATGGGAAGTACAACAATGGGGGCTCAAGAATGACACTGTTAGAAGATGCCAGGGAACCTCAGACTTACCCCTAGAATCCTGAAGATAATAGTGAGCCACATTCTGGGAACCTAGACTGCTAATTCCAGTGCAATTTAGGGAAATGAACCCAGAGGGGGTTCTACAACATAATTATAGACTTAGAACTTTAGGGGACAGCTAGTCCAATATCACCATTTTACAGATGAAGAAACTGAGGCTCACAGAAATGAAATAATTTGCCACTGGTCACATAGCTAGCAAGTCTTGGAGATGGGACCTAAACCCAGGCCTTCCTGACTTCAAGTCCAGCGCTCTATACCCCAGTGTTATGTGTACTAGACAAGTATACACCACTGTTTTTAAGGGGAAACCACTGTGTTTATGAGGACCATTTATTAGGAATGTTGTAGAGGTTTTACCTGGGGATAGCGGGTCATATCTTGGTGGACTAGAAAATGATGACCCATTATTGTAAAAATTATCCTATTATCATAGGATAATAGATTTATATCGTGACCACATATAACAGGATTAGAATCATAGATTTAGAGTTGGAAAGGACCCTAGAGGCCCTCTTGTCTAAACTCCTCATTTTTCAGGTGAGACACCTTAGCAGTAAGGAGGCTAATTGGCTTGCTCAAAGTCACACAGATAACTAAGATCAGAGACTTAATTTTAACCCAAGTCTTCTGACTCCAGAGTTAGGGTGCTTTCCACTATGATTGAAGGAGATATGATCTGAGGAGCTGGGTCTGAGGAAAATATTAGTTCCTGGAGGGAAGGGATAGTGGCAAGTGCTAAATGGTCTCAATATTCCCACCATAACATGATGTGGTCTCTGTGAACCTGCCTCCCAGATCGAGGTTGGATACGAAGAGAACAGTGGCACTTTCTGAGGTTCTGTGGAATATGCCAATGGAACATACCAGAGTAATAAGCTTCTGCAAACTTTTCTCAAGTGACAGCTGCTTCTGGTGAGTGGGTGGGGATGGAGCAGGGCAGGTTAATGTGGATTAGTGTAGGGACATTATGTTGCTCCTCAATGAATCCTCTTTCAAAATTGGCTTCCAACCATTCTCTTAACAGTGCCCTGTAGTGTACTGGCTTGTATTGGCTCACCTCCACCTGTTCCAGTGGATTGTAGCTTATCTCAGAATTAGCTACTTCTATACCAGCTCACCTCTCCATTCACAGGCAGAACCATCCTCCTTTCCTTCTCCTTTCCCAGCCCTCCCCCAACCCAGTGAGTCAAAGGCCTAAGAAGCCCAGATGCCTTTTAGGGTGTTTCTAGGGGCACTTAAACTATCAGATTCTCCAAATTTGCATTTATTCATAGAATGTCTTCCTTCTGTCACAAGGATCAAAACCATTTGGTTGTTGGAGAGGGTCAAAGAACTCCCTCACCTTGAGATTTCATTCTATAATTTGCCATCTAGGTAGAACAGTTTCAATGAATCTCCTTTAGGGGAAACATAGATCCCTCTCATTGAAACCAGAGCTCCAATCATTCCTTCCCTGACCATCTTTTTGTTCATGCTGACCCCAATAGGTACAAAGAGAAATTGTGGCAATAAGATTGAAAAAAATCATATGGCCATGGCTTCAGAATACCAGGGAAAAAAATGGATCCTTGTCAGGCGTGCTGAGTTACCTTATTAGCCACTGATTTGGTCTTGAACAGTAAGTATCATAGGCTTTGGTCTTACTTAAAAATAAAAAAAAAAATTAAGGGGAGAGGGGAAGTTAAGTGCGTCATGTTTTGGAAGCAGAATGGTCTAATGTTAGTGGAAGAAAATTGGAAGAAGGAGCTCCCAGATGGACCTTGTTCTTCATTTTTCTGGGCCTTTTCACAGGCTGTCCCCCACCCCATGCCTGGAATGTTCTCTCTCCTCTCCTCTGCCTCCTATTCTCCTTCAAGATTCAGCTCAAATCCCACCTTCTACAAGAGGCCTTTTCCATTTCCCCTCCTGCTAGTACCTTCTCTTTGAGATCACCTCCCATTTGTCTTGTATATACATTGTTGTTTATATGTTGCCTCCTCCACATGAGCTCCAAGAGGGCCAGGACCATATTTTTGTCTTTCTTTGTAACCCTAACCCTTAGCACAGTGCCTGGCACATAGCAAGCCCTTAATAAATAAATGCTTGTTCACAGACACCCTTCTCTCTGAAATAGGATTATCAATTAAGTCTAATTACACCAGGTATTCTTGTACTTGGATCAAGCACCACAAAACTGCATGGGGGAGGAGGGAGTTGAAAGATACCCTTCACTTGGGCAGATGAGGGTATGAGGGGGTGAATACCAAGCCAGGATACCATGGAGCTGCTGATGGGGAAGCCATCTATATCCTGTACACCTCCCCACCCCCACTCTTCAGAAGAAAGTTACTTGGTAGATTCTCACTTAAATAAAGTATTCTTTAATTTTTAAAAAAAAAAATTTTTAGGCAATTGGGGTTAAGTGACTTGCTGAGGCTCACACAGCTAGTAAGTGTCAAGTGTTTGGTCTGAGTCTGAATTTGAACTCAGGTCCTCCTGACTTCAGGGCTGGTGCTCTATCCACTATGCCACCTAGCTGCCCCTTAATTTTTTTTATTCTACATTTTACAAACACTAAATCAGATGAGCATTTTTATACATAAAGCAGAACAGGGGGGAAAAAAAGGATTGCACATGTAGCCGTGTTTGATTGAAAAATGATCTTCCTTCTTAGAAGATGCTCCAGGTGGCAACAAAGTGTTAACACAGAAAAACATGTCTAATGGTGACATTTCAGTTAGGTTGCCAGCTTTACAGAGCAGGTGGGAACAGATATATTTTGGGGCTAGAAAGGATTTTTCTGGTGTCAAAAGTGGAAAGAGCCACCTGATTTGAGGTCAGAAAATTTTCTTCTCAAGTCTTGGTGCAGCCATGAAGTTGCACCACTCAGAGCTTGCTTCTCCCTTTAACAAGCCATTTTCAAAGTTGTTTTGCTTCTTTGTCTCCTGTCAACCTTCTTTTCGTCTATTCATTTCTTTCAGAAAGTTTCAATGACCCTCTTTTCTTACATTTCTTCTCTTTCTCTTTGCCAATCATCTTGTTGCTAGCTTTTCTTTCTTCACTCCCACTCCCTCCCCCCCCAAAAAAAAAGAAAAGAAGAAAAGTAAATCTCTTGTATCAAATGTGTATATCCAAGCAAAGTAAATCCCCACATTGGCCATGTCCAGAAGGAAGAGAACAAGTAGTCTGTAAGTGCCTACTATGTTCCAGGCACTGTGCTGGGTACTTTACAAATAATATTTTATCTGATCCTCACAACAACCCTAGGAGGTGGGTACTATTATCATCCCTATCTTACAGTTGAGGAAATTGAGGCACACAGATTAATACCCAATTAATGCACTATTAATGTGCCCAAGGTCGCACAGCAAGTAAGTGTCTGAAACTGAATTTGAACTCAAGTCTTCCAGACTCCAGGGCTCTATTGACTGCACTAACTGGCTGCCTCGGTCAGAATATAGGCAGCAGGCAGCGTGTTCAATCACAGATCTTCTGCAATCTTTGTGGTCAATACATTTATCATAGTTCTCAATGATTTCTCAGTTGTTTTTCTTTAAAATGTTGAGGTTATTGTATAAATTGTTCTCCAGATTCAGCTTACTTCACTCCGCATCAGTTCAAACTAGTCTTTCCAGATTTCTCTCAAACTATCCTTTTGTCATTTCTTACAACAAAATAATATTCCATTCCATTCAAATGCCATAATTTGTTCAATAACTCCTCCATTCATGGGCACCCTTTTAGTTGCCACTATCAAAAGAGCTGCTATAAATATTATTTGTACATATGGGTCTTTTTCCTCCTTCTTTGATCTTTATGAGGGATATTGACCCAGCAGTGGTTATGCATGGTTAATTAATTTTTACGGATGTAGTTCCAAATTGCTTTCCTGAATAGATGGACCAATTCACAGCTCCAGCAACAATATATAAGTACAACTATTTGTTTTTTTTTTTCACAGCCCTTCCAACAAATGTAATTTTCCTTTTTTCTCTTTTTTGCCAACCTGTTAAGATAGAACCTTAATATTGTTTAATTTTCATTTCTTTAACTATTAATGAGTTATACAATTCTAAAAAATATATCTATTGATACCTTGGATTTCTTCCTTTAAGGAAATACCATTCATATCTTTTGGCTATTTATTTATTGGGGAATGGCTCTTGTTCCCTCATATTTGAATCATTTCCTATCATGCATATCCCTTGTAGCAGAGAAACTTGCTTCAAAAATTTTCCTCCCAGTTAACCATTTTCCTTTTAATTTTGTTTATGCAAAAACTTTTCTGTTTCATATAATCTGAATTGTCCACTTTATCTTCTATGATCTATCCTACGGCTTCTTAAACTTTTTCCATTTGCAACCCCTTCAGTGTTTCTTAAACTGTAGGTTGTGAACCCCTAGTTTAAGAAGCAATGAATTTTCCCATGTTTACTTATTAACTCTTCCCACATCCTTAGTAGCAACAGGTATTTTCTTCATTGATGCTCTCATTAATTTATAATGTGACTAGTTATATTTAAGCCGTGTATCTACTTGGAAGTTATTTTGGTGCATGGTATACTGTAGATGTTGATATAAACCTAATTTCTACCAAATTGCTTTCCAGTTTCCCCAGTAGTTTTTGTCAAATAGTGAATCTTTGACCCAGTAGTTGTGTTCTCTAGGTTTATTAAACAGTATTCTCTTGGGTTTGTTTGTTTCTGCACGTTGGATACCTAATCTGCTCCAGTGATCAACTTCTATATTCTTCCATCAATGCTATATTGTTTTAGGGATTAATGCTTTCCACCATAATTTGAGATATGATATTAGGATGATATAGTCCCCCTTCCTTCCCAGTTTTTTTAAAATAGTATTTTATTTTTTCCAATCACAAATAAAGACAGTTTTCAACATTCATTTTTTATAAAATTTTGAGTTCCAACTTTTTTTTTTCTCTCTCTCTCTCCCATCTACCCTCCCCAAGTCAGCAAGCAATCTGATATAGGTTACACATGTGCAATAATGTAAACACATATCAGTCATGTTGTGAAAGAAGAGAAACAGAACAAAAGGGAAAAGCCATGTAAAAACAAAAACAAAAAAGTGAAAATAGTATGCTTTGATTGCATTCAGACTCCATACTTCTTTCTCTGTATGTGAACAGCATTTTCCATCATGAATCTTTTGGAATTGTCTTGGATCATTGTATTGCTGAGAAGAGCTAAGTTAATCATAGTTGATCATGGCACAATGTTGCTTTTACTGTATATAATGTTCTCCTGGTTCTGCTCACTTCACTCAGCATCAGTTTATGTAACTCTTTCCAGGTTTTTCTAAAATCCACCTGTTCGTCATTTCTTATAGCACAATAGTATTCCATTACATTCATATACCACAACTTGCCATTTCCCAATTGATGGGCATCCTCTCAATTTCCAATTTTTTGCCACCACAAAATGAGTTGCCTTAAATACTTTTGTACACATAGGTTCTTTTCCCTTTTTTTATGATCTCTTTGGGATATAGACCTAATAGTAGTATTGCTGAATCAAAGGGTATACACAGTTTGATTGCCCTTTGGGCATAGCTCCAAATTGCTTTCCAGAATGGTTGGATCAGTTCACAACTCCACCAACAATGCATTAGTGTCCCAATTTTCCCACATCATCTCCAACATTTATGATTTTCCTTTTCTGTCATATTAGTCAACCTGATAGGTGTGAGGTGCTACCTCAGAGTTGTTTTAATTTGCATTTGTCTAATCAGTAGTGATTTGGAGTATCTTTTCATATGACTATAGACAGTTTTAATTTCTTCATCTGAAAAATGCCTGTTTATATCCTTTGCCCCTTATCAGTTGGGGAATGACTTGTATTCTTATAAATTTAACTCAGTTCTCTATATATTTGAGAAATGAGGGCTTTATCAGAAACACTGGCTGTAAATATTGTTTCCCAGCTTTCTGCTTTCCTTCTAAATCTTGGTTGCATTGGTTTTATTTGTGCAAAAACTTTTAAATTTAATATAATCAAAATTATCTATTTTGCATTTCATAATATTCTCTATCTCTTGTCTGGTCATAAATTCTTCCCTTCTCCATAGATCTGACAGGTAAACTATTCCTTGCTCTCCTAATTAGTTTATGGAATCACCCTTTATGTCTAAATCATATACACATTTTAATCTTATCTTGGTATATAGTGTGAGATGTTGGTCTATGCCTAGTTTCTGCTATACTATTTTCTAATTTTCCCAGCAGTTTTTGCCAAATAGAGTTCTTATCCAAGAAGTTCAAGTCTTTGAGTTTATCAAACAGTAGATTGCTATAGCCATTTATTGCTTTGTCTTATGTGATCTATTCCACTGATCCACTAATCTATTTTTTAGTCAGTACCAATAGTTTTGATGATTGACATTTTATAATATAGTTTTAGATCTGGTATGACCAGCCACCTTCTGTTGCTTCTATTTCATTAATTCTCATGATATTCTTGACCTTTTGTTCTCCAGATGAATTGTTATTATTTTTTCTAGCTCTATAAGATAATTTTTGGTAGTTTGACTAATATGGCATTGAATAAGTAAATTAATTGAGGTAGAATTGTCATTTTTATTACATTAGTTCAGCCTACCATGAGCAATTGATATTTTTCCACTTGTTTAGATCTGACTTTATTTGTGTGAAAAGTGTTTTGTAATTCTGTTTGTATAGCTCCTGAGCTTGTCCTGGCAAGTAGACACCCAGATATTTTATATCATCTACAGTTATTTTAAATGCAATTTTTCTTTCTATCTCTTGCTGATGGACTTTGTTGTTAATATATAGAAATGCTGATGATTTATGTGGGTTCATTATATATCCTGCAACTTTGCTAAATTTGTTAATTATTTCAAGTAGTTTTCTAGCTGATTCTCTAGGATTCTCTAAGTATACCACCTTCCCACTTTTAAAACTCATTTCCCTTGAAAAAAACTTTTCAGTAGTAAGTTTTTATGATAGACATATCCAAGATATAGAAGCAACTAATTCACATTTATAACACTAAGAGCCATTCCCCAAAAGATAAATGATTAAAGCATAGGAACAGACAAAATTTTCAAAGGAAAAAACCCAAGCTATCAATTATTTTTAAAGATGTTCCAAATCACTAACAATTAGAGAAATATAAATTAAAGCAACTCTGAGGTTCAAATTGCCATCAAACTGGCGAAGATGACAAAAGAGGAAAATGACAAATGTTAGAGAAACTTAAGGAAAATAGGCACAATAATGCACTCCTGTAGATCTATTAATTGGTCCAGTCATTGTGGAAAGCAGTTTGGAACTATGCTCCAAAAGTCTACATGTAGTAGACCCAATAATACTACTAAGCCTTTACCCCAAAGACATCAAAGAAAGAGGGTAAGTATCTATATGTACGAAAGTAGTCCTAGCAGCTCTTTTCATAGTAGACCAAAACTGGAAATAAGGGGGTATCCTCCTATTGGGGAATGGATAAAGAAATTGTGGTATATTGTAGTAGGATTATTGGACTATAAGAAATGATGAAATAGATATCAGAGAAAACTGAGAAGAGCTCTATGAACTAAAGAGGAGTAAAGTGAACAGAACTTGGAGAACAATTTATATAATGACATTACAGAAAAATGGAACTTTGAAAAATTTTAGAATTCTGATTAATGTAGCTGAACACACAAGTTCAGAGGACTAAAGATTAACTATGCTACCTTATCTCCTGCCAGAGAGGTGATGGACATAAAAGGCAAAATCAGACATGTTTCTGGATATAGCCAATATGGGAATTTATTTTGCTGCATTATGCACATTTGTTACGAGGGTTTTGTTTTTAATTGTTCAGTTAAGAGTAGAGTAATGGGAAAGGATGAAAACACTTTAAAAAATAAATACAATTTAAAAATTATTTCCCTTGAGATTCTTGACCTTTTGTTTCTGTAGATGAATTTTGTTATTTTTTTTCTACAAGGTTAATTCCTTAGTAGTTTGATTGCCATGGCACTAATTAAATTAACTTAGGAAATATTGGTTTTGGTATTTTTATAATGTTTAGATAGCTCAACCATGCAGCTTATAGTAACTATGAGTAATTAATGTCTAATTATTCAGGTCTGTCTTTATTTCTGTAAAAAGTATTTTATAGTTGTATTCATATAGTTGCTGTGTGTGTGTCTTGGTAGGTAGATTCCCAAATATTTTATATACTCTGTAGTTATTTGGAATATACTTTCTCTTTCTTATTCTTCCTACTGAATTTTATTGGTAATACATAGAAAGGCTGATTATTTGTGTGAATTTAATTTATATCCTATTACTTTGCTGAAATGATTGTTTGAATTGACTAAGATTTTCTAAATAGACCATCATATATGCTGATGTTTTGTTTTTTCATTGCCCAAGTTTATTCCCTCAATTTCTTTTTTTTTGTTGTATTGCTATAGCTAGCTTTTCTAGAACTATATCAATTGGTAGTGGTGATAATAGACTTTCTTGTTTTATCTCTGATCTTATTGGAAAGGTCTCTAATTTTTCCCCTTTATATATAATGCAGGCTATTGGTTTTAGAGAGTTACCACTTACCATATAAGGGAAAGATCCATTTATTCCTATTCTTTTTAGTGTTGTTGTTGTTGTTGTTTTTTAACAGAAATGAATGTTGTAAAACAAAACCAATGCAACCAAGATTAGAAGGAAGGTAGAAAATTGGGAAAGAATTTTTACAACCATTGTCTCTGATAAGGGCCTCATTTCTAAAATATATAGAGAATTAAGTCAAATTTATAAGAATACAAGTCATTCCTCAACTGATAAATGGTCAAAGGATATGAACAGGCAGCTCTCAGATGAAGAAATTCAAGCCATCTACAGTCATATGAAAAAATGCTCTAAATCACTATTGATTAGAGAAATGCAAATCAAAACAACTCTGAGGTACCACATCACACCTATCAGACTGGCTAACATGACAAAACAGGAAAATGATAAATGTTGGAGAAGATGTGGGGAAAATTGGAACACTAATGCATTGTTGATGGAGTTGTGAACTGATCCAACCATTTTGGAGAGCAATTTGGAACTATGCCCCAAAGGGCTATAAAAATGTGCATACCCTTTGACCCAGCAATAGCACTTCTAGGGTTATATCCCAGAGAGATCACACAAATGGGAAAAGGAACTACGTGTACAAAAATATTTATAGCAACTCTTTTTGTGGTGGCAAAGAATTGGAAATTGAGAGGATGCCCATCAATTGGGGAATGGCTGAACAAGTTGTGGCATATAAATGTAATGGAATACCATTGTGCTATAAGAAATGATGAACAGGCTGACTTCAGAAATACCTGGAAAGACTTGTATGGTCTGATGCTGAGTGAAATGAGCAGAACCAGGAGAACATTGTACACAGTAGCAGCCACATTGTGCAATGACTAACATTGATAGACTTAACCCTTCTCAGCAATACAAGGATCTAAGACATCTTCAAAGGTCTCATAATGGAAAATACTATCCACATCCAAAGAAAGAACTATGGAATTTGAATGCAGATCGAAACATAGTATTTGCTTTTTTTTTTCTTCTGTTGTGTTTCATTTCCTCTTTCTGGTGGTTCCTCCTATTAGTTCTAATTCTTACTTATAACATCACTAATGTGAAAATTTGTTAAATAGGAATGTGTATGTATAGCCTATATCAGATTGTGTGCTGTCTTGGGGAGGGAGGTGAGAAAGGAGGGGGAGAAAAATTTAAAACTCAAAAGCTTATGGAAGTGATTGCTGATCATTGAAAATAAATTAATTAAAAATTTAAAAAAAGAAATGAATATTGTATTTTGTCACAAGTTTTTTCTGCATCTATTATGTTATTATGTACTTGTTATTTTTGTTATTGATATTATCTATTATTTTTACATTTTTCTTAATATTGAACCAACCCTTACACTAGTACAAATCAAAACTGATCATAGTGTATGATCTTTTAGATATGTTATCAGAATAGTTTTATTTATCACTTCAGACCATGATACAAAAAAAGGTTAAAAAGCCTCTGCTCTTACTTTTCCTGAGAAATCCTCTTCTGTCTCCTTGTCTTTTGATAGAGACTTTTGAGAGGATACAATTTTTTTTTCCTAAATGGGCACCGTCTAGCACTTTCCAATTCTGTCACTGGCCATTATCCACTCATTTGGCTCAGCAGAGAGTCCTTTCTTCAGAGCCTGGTCATACTAATCCTCTTACAGATATCATCTTTCAGGGATTCACAGCACATATTTGCATTTTAAGGGCAACTCCCATCTTGCCTAAGGAAATCTTAAGAGCTTCTTAAAACACCCTAAAATACTCAAGAAGCTGCATTTACACAATCTCCTTTTAGGAAAAGAGGAGATGTTTTCACTCCTCCGGAACTCCTCCCAAAATCCATGCTGGAAAATTATCCATCCATCTTCTCCCTCTTGCAATATTTCCATTTCTTCCTTGTGGCTTTTCTTAGCCAGCTAGCATAAAGAAATTGACTTAATAAGCTAATTGATACTAAGGTGTGAATGTTTGATTGAAAAATGCTCTTCCTTCCTGGAAGATGCCTCAGGTGGCAACAAAGTGTTAACACACCAAAACATGTCTAATGGTGACACTTCAGTTAGGTTGCCAGCTTTATGGAAGGGTTGGGAATGGATGTATTCCGGGGCTAGAGAGGGCTTTTCTGGTGTCAAAAGTGGAAAGAGCACCTGATTTGGGGTCAGAACATTTTCTGCTCAAATCTTGGTGCTACCGCAGGCTACCCCTTTGATCATGGACTATTCATCGTCCGTAAAATGACCTCTAAAGTTTCCCTTCCAGCTCTAAATTTATAGTTTGAGGATCCTATTCCACCTAGTATTAAGGTTTTACTCTAATATGGTATCTCACCAATCTTTTCTGTAGATAATGGAAACAAGAGAGGCATCAAAACATCCGAAGACTGAACAGGAGTAGCACTGAATAGGAGTTTAGTGCTGTAATAATAATTGACCCATGCAAAAATATTATCTATATATGAGAAATCCCTATGTTTAACTTTCATTTGATAAGAAGGCTATGCTCTAATCACAACTAGTTGGTATTTTTTTTCCTGGGTTCAGCTGTAATTTGTAAGGAGCCAACAATAAATAAGGATTTTATTTTTATGATCTTCCTAGATAGAGGGAAACATGGTTAAGTATTTTTGCAGGTGCTACCTTTTTGCCAGTCTGATAGATTACTTTAGGATTTATGTAAAATGATTTTTGTGTCATGGTGAGGTTCCAGAATAGTGTGAGATCCATACAAGGAAATAAAAATTACTCATCTTGCCCTGAAGGTTTTAGAGATACAGAATCTATTCTAGGGGCATCATTTTTAGCTCAAGTAGAATTTTTTTTTTTAAACCACACATACAACAAATCAACACAGTAAAATTAACACTCATTAGTGCCAGTCGTTTATTTATTTAGCTAATTTTTACAAAATCTAACAAATAACTTCTTTAGACTTTATTCCACATTCAATTCTGGGTTTTGTGGAAGAAGGAAGAATTGAAAAAAGAGAAGTAAGTTGATGAGAGCAGAAAAAGAAAGTTAGGAGATTCTGTCAAGGTACCAAATGAGGTCAGAAAGAAAGGAAGAATTCTGGCCTAGAAGATTTCCACAGTAGTTCTCCTGGGAAGTTGTCCGTCAGAGCTACTAGGAGGTATGATAAAGGACTGAGGATGATACATTCCAGAATCCCCAAAGAGGCGAATGCTGAGACTATTTGGAAATTAGTTATTAAACCCTGTACTGCTGACCAGCAGCTAATGAGAGAGGGAAAATTGAGCCTGAGATTTAGAGGCAGCTTAAGGTAACATCAGACTTGGTAGTTTGTGATTGCAGAGAGGACACATCAGTGATGGGGGTCCACAGCTTCCTCAGGAGTCAATAATTAGTGATCATGGTTAATTATGGAGCACAGAGTATCAGCCTGACAGCACAAATATAAATAATTTAATATGCAAAGCTCACTGTCTAAATCATTGTAGGGAGGGGTGGTGGAGAATAAGGGAACAGGTGTCCCTATTCACCAAAAGAGGAACTCTTTAAAGCTTGCCTGATGATGATGATGATGATAGCTAACATTTATTTAGAGCTTACTGTGTTCCACGCACTGTGTTAAGCAGTTTACAATTATCTCATTTGATCCTCACAACCCTGGGAGGTAGGTGCTACTATTATTGCCATTTTACAGAAAGGGAAGCTGAGGCAAATGATAGTTAAGTAACTTGCCATGGGACACATAGCTAATAAGTGTCTGAGACCAGATTTGAACTCTGGCCTCCCCAACTCCAAGGGCAGGGCTCTATCCACTGTACTACCTAGTTGCCTAAGACAAGCCACTGAAATAAAACAAGAAGGATATGGAACAGATAACCCCCCAAAAATGTAGATTGAATGGACAGCCTTGAGGAAACTGCTTTTGAGTTCATGTGCTCCCTGAAAATGGGCAGCTAGGTGGTGTAGAGGATAGAGCCCTGGGCCTGGAGTCAAGAGGACTCATCTTCCTGAATTCAAATCCAGCTTCAGACACTTAAGAGCTATGTGACCCTGGGCAAGTCACTTAACCTTGTATATATCAGTTTCCTCATCTGTAAAATGAACTAGAGAAGGAAATAGCAAAACCACTCCAGTATCTTTGCCAAGAAAATCCCCAATGGAGTCAGGAAGAGTTGGTCACAACTGAAAAAACAACTCAACAATGAAGCTCCCTTAGTCACCTATGCTAAAAGAAGATAAGTAGCACAGTAGAGTGAATGCTGGACTTGAGTCAGGAAGACATGAGTTCAAATTTTACCTCAGATACTTATTAGCTGTGTGACCCTAGGCAAGTCAACTTATCCTCTGTCTACCTCAGTTTCCTTACATGTGCAATGGGTATAATAACAGCACCTCCTCCCTAGAGTTGTTTTGAGATTCAAATGAGATAGTATGTATAAAGTGCTTTGTAAATCTTAAAGCACTATATAAATATTAGTTATTACTTTTGTGCTTACAAAAACTAGATGGACATTTGGAAAATGCACAGCAAACCTATATGCATTCTCAATGCCTGTCAGCCTAAGAGGTTAGAAGGCTTCTGACTTCAGATTACATTTGGAAAGATTGTTGCAGAGAAGAGCATTCAAAGGAGCCACCCCTGCCTTTGTGGAACGGAGGTGAAATCAAACAATTAAGGAACATTTATGAAGCACCTACCATATGCCAGGTTTATGAAGCACCTACTATGTGCTAAGTGTTATCAGAAGTAACCAAGGGATTGGTACACAGCAAATCCTGTGGGGCACACAGACCAGTGAAGGAAGAAAAAGGATGGAATCTCAGTTACTTGGAGTTAATATGCTGGGTGAAAAAGAGAGGCAAAGAGTCTACAGAAAGAAATTGGAGTTAGATAAAATTGGCTCCACCCTATTCCAGGACATTTCCTTGGGTATGGGGCACTAAGATGAAGAGAGGCAAACTCAGATCAATCAGATTGAAAGAACTGGGGCAAGCCTGCTAGAAGATGGAACAGTATGCAGAGCCAGGGACAGAGGCCAAGGCCATCCGCCACTGCAACAGCTCCAACAGAGCTCACAGGTGAAGAGGCTGCACTGTATTTTGCTAGAGCCATGGACAAGATATGCCCTGTGCTTTGCTGGG